AAGCTGCTTGAGCGAGTTGTAAACGCGCGTCTCGTCTGGTTTCTGGAGGAACAAGGTGTTTTATCTAACTCGCAGTGCGGTTTCAGAAAGTATCGGAGCACAGTAGACCACATTTTAGCCCTTGATACCGAGGTTCGTTGCGCATTTAGGCGGAAGCGACACATTGGTGCATTGTTTTTCGACATTGAGGCTGCGTATGATACCACTTGGCGTTTCGGTATTTTACAAAAGCTTTTCAAGTACGGTATACGCGGTACAATGGGCCATTTCCTCGCCAGCTTTTTATCTAACCGGTCTTTCAGAGTCCGTGTCGGTGGCAACCTCTCAGAGCAGTTCCCCCAGGTCAACGGTGTCCCCCAAGGAGGAGTCCTAAGTGTTGTGCTGTTCGGGGTAATGATTAACGATATTGCCGATCACCTGCCCCCTTCCATTGGCCGTGCCCTTTTTGTGGATGACTTCTCTATCTGGGCCAGTGGTGCAACCACACGTATAGTAGAGAGACAGCTCCAGTTGGCAATTAAAAGATTAGAAAACTGGAGTGCTGTTAACGGACTACGATTCTCGACAGCCAAAACTGTAGGTGTCCACTTTTGCCGTTTTCGCCGTAATTGCCCTGACTTCTCTGTCAGGCTAAGGGGTGCAGTGATCCCTGTGAAGTCGGAGGTGAAGTTTCTTGGGATGGTAATAGACAGCCGTCTTACCTACCGCACTCACCTGAAAGAGCTCCGCGACCGATGTTTTCGAGCTATGAATGTTTTGAAATGTGTTGCGCGTACCTGCTATGGGGCGGATCGTAAGACACTGCTCTTGCTTTATCGTGCTCTTGTCCGTTCTAGACTTGACTACGGCTGTTTTATATACGATAACGCCACAGAGACCTCGAAACGTATTCTGGACTCTGTGCACCATACTGCTCTCCGTATTGCCACTGGTGCGTTCCGGACCACCCCAGTAGCCAGCCTCCTTGTAGAGGCCCACGAGCCACCTCTTGCCTTGCGTCGCCAGCTACTGGGCATGAGATATACCATAAAACTCCGCCAGTTGCCTTCCCACCCTGCCTATGATGCAGTTTTCTCACGTGCCAACCTGGCGCTTTTCAGAACCGGAGAAGGTGCACGTACTGTCCGCTACCCCCCTTTCTGCTCTCGTATGCAATCGCTGCTCTCGGAAGCTCAAATTAAACTTCGGGGGATCATGCGTAAGGAGTGGCCATCTGTCCCACCGTGGAGACAAGTCCCGCCAAAGGTGGACCTTTCCCTCACCGATGTGAGAAAAGGCGACATCCCTCCAGCTGTTTTAAAGGCTCGTGCGCTGGAACATATTTCAAGGTACTCTGACTACATAGCCTGTTATACTGACGGCTCAAAGACTGATGACGGTGCCGGGTGTGCTTTCGTCTGCGGCGACGCTGTGCGGTGTTTTACCTTACCTAAACATGCATCCGTTTTTTCCTGCGAATTGGTCGCTATCCTCAAACTCCTGTGTTTTATCGAGATTAATCCCGCTCGGTCATATGTTATTCTTTCTGACTCATTGAGTGGTCTCCAGTCCTTGTCACAATTCTATCCTTCTGACCCCCTCTCACAGGAGATTCTTCTTCGTGTGACAGCCCTCGACCGAGAGGGTACGTCGGTGTCTTTTTGCTGGATCCCTAGCCACGTCGGTATTCACGGCAACGAACGGGCGGACCGAGCTGCGAACCATGCTGCGCAGTATCCGTGCTCCCGCCGATTCCCTCTACCCGCCAGGGACTTTGTACCGGCGGTGGGCTCTTTCCTCCTCGGAAAGTGGCAGGAGGCCTGGAGCCAATCCCACGGTAACAAACTTTTACGTATCAAGCCAGGTTTAGCTTCCTGGTTGTCGGCCTCACGCAGATCGCGACGCGAGGAGGTGGTCCTCTGCCGGCTTCGTACCGGGCACACTTATGGCACCCATGGGTTCCTTATCGGCGTTGGCTCCAGGCCTATTTGTACCAGATGTGGTGACCGACTTTCGGTCCGACACGTCTTGGTCGAGTGCCCGAGACTGGACGCTGAGCGATTGCGGTTTTTTGGATTGCGTGGCCCCCAGCTCTCTTTGAGAACACTTCTCCGCGACGACTCCCCTTTTCTCGATTCCTTTCGCCTCTTTTCGTTCATCACGGCCTCCGGGCTTCAGGTGATTTTTAACCCCCGACTTTGAGGAAGAATGGCTAGATATGGGCGCCATATAGCCTCGTTGCTGGTGCGCCCTAAAACACCAAATCATCATCATCAGCACAGAAGTCCATGCAGATGCGGGGCGAGCGGGGCGTGAGCAGCAGTTACCACCAACTGTGAACGAGACCATGCTAACTGGTGTAGCGGGCAGACGGGCACGCACACACGAATGCAGGAGCGGGACCGTGTCCTGAATGCCCACAACCTCTCACAGACGAGCCACCATGGTCATGCCACAAACCAACACCCATACCCGCACATGATATCCTTCAATACAAAATTATCCTAATAAATGATTATCTTAGTAAACGATGCGCAGCTGAACCAAAAATAATCACAAGATGGCATCATTAGTGGCTACCAAGATTACTTTACTACTCGTGGCTACCGCTTGCATTAGATATTTCTGAATTGAAGCCTCATGGGTAAATGAACTGCGTCGTAGAGTTTTTTTCGTTATTTAATTTGGGTGAAAGTCCGGGAGCGATGGCCTACATAAGTCTCGCGACATTCGTCGTAAATGCCATTTAGTGGTGTCGCTCAGAGTAGGGTGATAAAGTGATACCCACATGTGAACCCTCTGGTGAAATAGTGTCCCAAAAATTGATTGAAACTCGTCAAGACTTAAGTAGCAATAGCAAGGCATGCTGAGACAAACGAAAGACATGCTGCTTACGATCAATATGAATCGCGGAGTTGGGACTGAGGCGTATTCAGTAGGTGGGCCGTTAGTTTCGATGCATTCCAAATGTTCAGAAGACGTTTAAAAAATGGATAATTTTACATGAGCTCAGAGCTGGCTGGTTCTATATAATACTGAACGAGGCCGGTGTAAATCAATTTTCAAGACCGAGGTCCTTACTGATTTTTCAGTCAGTAAGGACTTGAAATTTTATCACCGGCCGAGTTTGGTATAGTTCGTTTTTTTTTTTTAATTGCCCCTCACTGTAAACATCTTTTTGAACATAGCACGAGAATTGCTAGCTGAATTGCTGAGAAAACTGGTTGGCGCACATTGATTCGACCAGATTTCACAGACGATCAATTTCACCAAATTTATTTCACAGATTCATAGCTCGTATTTGCCAATTCCTACAGCCCCACTGGGATAGACGACTTCTCAGGAATTATGTCTGAACTAATCAATAAATTGAGCGGCGTTTAACATAACGTTACATCGTCGGTGTTCAAAACTTACTTTGAAAATATTATTTATATCTCCAATACAATGTGCGCTAACCAGTTTTCTCAGTAATTCAGCTAGCAATTCTCGTGCTGTGTTCAAAGAGACGTTTACAGTGAGGGGCAAACCTAAAAAAACGAACTATAGTCTGTTCCATATCAAGCTTGCAGTCGGAGTTTCTTCGGCAGATCGCTCCTCCGCTCAAGAATTTCCGTCTTAAAATGTAAGAGCTGTATATACAGAAATCACGCACTGCTTTCAGCAGAGCACTTCGGCTGCAAACTTGAAACGGAACAGAGTATAGGTATATGTATTTTTATTTTACTGTATGCATGCGAACGATAAATTTATGCTCTGGACTGAAGCTCTTAGCCGACTTAGGAACGAGACCAGCCCAAAATGTTGGCTTAAGTGCAAACTGCCAACTGGTACCTAATGCATTTTAGATCGTGGTCAATTTGCTTAGACCAGTTATTACCACACCCCTCCGGCTAATGTATTTGAATAGGCCTGGCATACAGAATGTTGAAATTTCAGACTCCACTGATAAAATATTCACCGAACAATTACCTTTCATGTTGCTGTTCGGATGTTATGGCTTGCCCTGGCTCATAATTCAACGTTATATCCGCTTGTATTATTCAATACCGACTGACGAGCGACTTTGAATTTTGAAGCCACCTTACGTCCCACTCCCAGGCCAAGATGGCGACGCCTGCTAATTGAATATGAGGTGCCATATTGGCAATGCTGGCCGATCTAACTGCATATTCATATATCAAATCCGCCGCAAACACTTCAGACCAGACATGTGCATGGATCCGAGAAAATGGATCTGGGATCTGATCCCACAGATCCTGATCTCGGATCCGACGGTATCATAGATCCAGATCTCTGCTTTGTCGAGAGATCCGTAGGGATCATAGATCCAAGTCAAATTTTTTGCTTGGGATCTATCGAGATCATAGATCCTCGCTTATTTTTCATCAACACAGAAATCCCAAAAAATCACTTGTTTCAGGTCACAAACATTCTGTTTTAGTGATTTTGTGATTGCACATCATAATGCATAGTTTTGTGGCACTAATTGGCTTAGAAACACTTGTAAACCTGGTTCCAAATCTTCTGCGTGGCGGGATCCACTCAGATCACAGATCCACGTTCTTGATTTATCGTCAGATCCTATGAAATCATAGATCCAGGATAAATTGTTCACGCCGGATCCGGTGGGATCATGGATCCTAGTCTGCAGTTTACTGCGAGATCCACTGAGATCATAGATCCAGCACTCGGATCCATGCACATGTCTGCTTCAGACCCTCGTTGTTTCCGAATATGACACTACTTGGCTGTAGTGAATTCAATATGAACGAATTTCCGTTGCAATACCATAAGCATTAGGTACATTCGGCAACGGCAATTTTGTAGCAAGGAGCTCGCGAATAGGAATCTAGGATTCGCAAATATGATACTAGGTACTCAGTGTCCCAAAATGTGTTGATTTGAGTGGGAAACTAGGAATCTAGGATTCGAAATATGATACTAGGTACAGTGGTAATCCTAATCTGACGGGCGTATATTGAGTGCCGTCTGACTTGCGCGTTTCTCTTTTGTCGCAGCTGCGTCATGAGAAGGAGCATCTGGAGCAGACGCTGGAGCAGGAGCAGGAGTGTCTGGTCAACAAGCTGATGAACAAGATCCAGAAGCTGGAGTCCCAGACGCTCAACAAGCAGACGACTCTGGAGCAGCTCAGGCGGGAAAAGGTAGGAAAGACTCTGAAAGACTTTGAAAGACTCTGAAAGGGAAACAGGGGTACCTATGTATTTTTTTTTGTGTTTTGTATCGGGAAGGTGATTTAAATATTCCTGGTGATTTAGATATTCGTGCATGGCATTGCAATATTTTTAGGCGTCTGATTAAAACTATCGAAATATCACCAATGTCACGTCATCATAAACTAAATGATACATTTATGTGGCAGATCGTAATTCCATGCATCTGCCTGTAGATGAGTTCATATGAAACATTCTTCATGACTGACCTCGGACTCCTGACAATTAATGTCATTGTCCTTGGCACATTCATAATGCCTGACTCCCGACTCCTGACTCCAGGTGGAGTTGGAGAACACATTGGAGCAGGAGCAGGAGGCGCTCGTCAACAAGCTCTGGAAGAAAATGGAAAAACTCGAGGCCGAAAAGAGGTGAGTTTTGATATTTTGGGGTTTGTCATCCAACTGAAGCCGATCGAGTACACGTATTTCTCGCGGCCTCGCGATAACAGTAATTTTCCGACTTATTGTTTTTCATTATCTTACTCGGCTACCATGCCATACTGCTTCATACGGTTTTGATGTCTTTGTAAATTCATATACTTTGTCAACTAACGTACTATGTAGGTCAAAGGACCACATTGAATCGTTCGCAAAGCATACCAGGCTTTCACAGCACAGTGAGTTGTTTTTCATTTCTAGCTCACTATTGCGTATCAAGCTACATTTTTATGAAACGTCGACCCCATAATATGTGGTGCTCCCCCAAGGCCTTTTCTTTTTGTTCTTTTCAAAGTGAGGCGAACAAATGGTTTGAATTCAGCGACTGTAAAACCACGGTAAAACTAACGGCGTCTGCCAGAACCTCGTGTAAAATTTTAATGGCTGTCCCGCTTGCTTGCTCTTTGTTTACGCTCTTTCGGCATTTCTCGGTGCAGAGCTTACTCATGTGAATTTTATTCATTTGACTTTCGTACGTCAGAGTCAGGCCGGTGGGCGGTTGGCCCCCTGCTGCGTAGGTGCGTTTCATACTCACTAGTTCGGGTGCAGTATCGTCATTTAGGGACCACGGTAGATTTGGGAGTCATTTTTCGGTAGAGGCGAATATATTTTATCCTGTGCAGCCATATACCTAACAAAGCAGTCTCGCTGTGTATTATGCAGACGGACGTTATATACCCAACCTATTAGCTCAACGTTTTGAAGCAAACATTCTGGAGCTGAAGTATAGGTCGTTGATGATAATTCATGTTTAAATTCATAATGGTACAGAGCCTGAAGGTAAAACAAGCAATTCTACGATGCTGGTAGCTATGTTTGTGAGTTTCAACCGCGTGCCGTATACAAGGAAATACATAATTACGACGATCGTTACGCGTTATTAGGGATTCTGTGTTATCTCGCACATTTCCACCAATCCTATGTTACCGATAGTTGCCTAATCCATGCCGACTTCTCTGTTCGTTTGGCGTCACTGATGTGTTGTCGCAGGGACTACATTCGTATGACTCGCGATACGCTGGCGCTATTCATTAGACGAGAGAACATTGACGACCATGACCGTTTTAGTTCGTCCGTATGATAGTTGTATGGTAGGATGTGCTAATCGCGATATAATCTACGCACTCCGACATTTTATAATGACAGGCATGATTTCGGCCTGTTTCTCCTAAAATGACCCAGGCATCAGCTGGCCTAGTTGCTCCTCTAAAGATTTGTCCCAGAACTCCCAGAACCCGTATGCGGTAGCTTGCTTACCAGAAAAGGGCAGGCCATTCATTCGCCCACTCACTCTTCGATTTCTCTTGCCAGGTTGACGCTCAATCGCATCAATGCTTGAACCAAGGCCATGGCTGGAACTCTTGCCAACTAAGGGGCAGCCAAACTTTCTCAGTTTCCACTCTACTCGTGCGCTCACTCGCCGCCCCACCTCCGTTTTCAGACTCCTCTCCGGCAAACTGGAGCGCGTGGAGCGAGGGTCGGACTCCGAACCCCCCTCCCCGGGAACTCCGGCCACCTCCACCGCCTCCGCCACCGGGGGAGGAGGTGGGGGAGGAGGGGGAGGGGCGGAGGAGCGCGAGAGGGACTCGTCCACGGCGGGGGACCTCAGTCTGTACATCCAGCAGCTCAGGAGGGAGGTACTGGCGCTGAAGAGTCAGCTGCAACACTCCAGGAGGGAACGTGAGTGGCGGGGCGGGGTGGGGAGTATTTCGCATTCCATTGTTCTGTCAGTAGACCTTGGTATGTAAGTACGAAGTAGAGGTTCTAATAGTAATATTCCCTATATGTATATCTGCAGACTGTCAATTTGTGTCTGCACTGCAATTCAGGTCACAAGGGCAGCGGAATGGTTATATAGTACTGACTGCAGTTTTATGTTACGAGACTCAAGCTTTGAAGATGGCTCAGCTCTGACCGTGGTTCCGTGTGCTCCTACCGTAGTTGTCTGCCCCCAGCCTCTGTGAAGATTTATGTCTGACCATAGTTTTTTTTTCGCTCAGACTGTAAAGTTGGCTCAGTACTGACTATATTTCTGTGTTCTCTCACCAATAGTTTATTGATCCCAGACTCTGTGAAGATGGCCCAGTACTAATCATGTTTCCCGTTCTCAGACTGTGAAGATGGTCCAGTACTGACCGTAGTCCTCTCTGTTCTCAGACTCTGTGAAGATGGCCCAGTACTGACTGTATTTCTGAACGCTCTGACCGTAGTTCTGTGTCCCCAGACTCTGTGAAGATGGCCCAGTACGCCCAGGAGGAGCGGCACGTCCGTGAGGAGAACCAGCGTCTGACGCGGCGACTTCAGGTCGAGATGGACCGGCGGGATACCCTCTGCAGACATCTGTCCGAGTCAGAGTCCAGGTCAGCCAAACGCAGAGTCAAGGGAGCTCGTGGATGCAAGATGATTCAGTTTTAGAGTCGATGTCAGGCCAGGGAAGACACATGAGTTGGATTGAGGTTATTTTGGATAATTGTCAGTTGATATAGGTCAGGGTTAGTTGTGATTGTGAAGTCATAGTGAGGTTTTACCATGGAGCGGCGTGACACACTATAGACACCTTTCCGAGTCAGAGTCCAGGTCAGACGCGGGGGGAGTCGAGAAGGAGTCATGGTAGTTCGGTGTTAGAGTCGAGGTCAGGGTCGGGGCAGAGGCGTGTGAGATCAGATGGGGTTCAGCTTAGACCAGTGTTAGGTCAATATCAGGTTGAATGGTTGAAGTCGTGAGGACTGAGGAGTGGGGTCGGTGTAATGATGGGCCGTTTTGAGAGTCACAAATACAATGAGGCCGGGTCTTACTTTGATTGTGATGATTTTCTCACGGCTCTGTGTGCTTTGTCTCGTACTTTGTGCAATTCGTGAGTGGGGGTATTATAGATTATTAGCGGTAAAGGTTGCTTGGGATCACCGCTCGAGTTTTAGTTTTTGTTCCGGCTGTTACACTTATTATTAATTGTAATCAGTGTCCCAAAAATTGTAGATGTGGGTGGGAAACGACATCCAAATGAAAATCATTTTCCACTCTCACCTCCAGTTTTCAAGCCCAATTTTCCACTCCCAATTCGACCGAGAAGAAGCAATTGCGTGAATTGTTGTTTTGCATCTGTCACAATTGTAGATAGATTAATGTTTTTGATCATTTTCCCACTCTTTTTGGGCCTTACCTGACCGACAATTTTTCACTCTCATCCTTTTTTGGTCAGCAATTTTCCCCTCTGACACCCAAGCAAAAATACGATTTTGGGACACTGATTGTAATTGACTGAACACTGAATGCTACACGTCTCTGATGGATCTCCTCTCTCCCCATTCAGTCTGGATATGGACGAGGAGCGCCAGCTGGAGATGTCTGCCGGCTCCCGGCCCCGCACCGTCTCCAGTCCCGGGCCGGCGTCACTGACCTCGCCCGGAGGCAGCCGGCCGCTCAGCCCAGGTCAGTGGGGGCGGGGGGGGGGCAGGTCAGGTCACAGATCAGTACAGTCCCTGAACTCGCCCGGAGGCAGCCGGCCGCTCAGCCCAGGTCAGTGAGGGGGGGGGGGGAAGGGGGCAGGTCAGTACAGTCCCTGAACTCGCCCGGAGGCAGCCGGCCGCTCAGCCCAGGTCAGTGGGGTCACAGCTGGTCAGGTCACAGGTCAGCTCATACATCAGTTAAGTTCCCAGTCCCTGACCTCGCCAGCCGGCCGCTCAGCCCAGGTCAGTGGGGGCGGGTCACAGGTCACGGGTCAGGTCAGTGGGTCAGGTCACGGCCAGTGGCGATTGAGTTGTGGCGATTGAGGGGTCATGTCAGTGGGTTTGTCAGGTCAGATTACAGGTCTGAAGGGTCCAGCTATAGGTTAGTAAGGTCAGGTCACAGGTCAGTGACGGCTCAGGTCTCACTTCAAGGCATGGGTCGGTTAAGTTTTAATTTGAGGTCACTGGAGACCAGGAGTCATTAAGATCCGTTTCCCCCATTTGACCCGTGTCGTAACCCCCCCCCCCCCCCCCACCCCATCCGCCACCAGGTCGGGATATGTTCGGGCCGCCGTCGCCGGTCGTCCCGCGCTGTCAGAACTGTGGCGCCACCGTGCAGCAGATGCCGCCCCGGCCCCGGCCGCCCACACTGCCACCTAGCGGCGGCGCCGGGAACGACAAGTTCGTCAAGCCGACGGCGCCGGCCATCAGCATTGGCGCTCCGGCCATGTCACCCGGCAGACCGATGCAGGTTAGAGAGCGGGCAGAGAAGGAGAGAGAGTGTGTGCGTTGCCGGGAGAGTAGGTAGAGATAAAGGGCTCGTTTAGGGGAGGTTTGGTAGGTGGTGAGGCCGGCTGGTTCGCTGGCTTCGTGTGTGTACTGTGTGTGTTGCTTTCAAAGGGCTCCTTCGACCCTCAGTGATAAGGATTCTCATTTTCAGATTTCTTGCTCAGGAATTTATTCCTAGACAAGTTTTGCGTTGTCTTTTTTTCTATTTTTCTCTCAGTATACATCGGTGGATACAAGACGCTCTGTTACATGGCGGGCGATCCGCTTGAGGTGTATTTGTACTTTTTTTTTAGGTTAAATCCTAACGTTCACGGAAGGATCCAATCGTTCTTCGAAAAATTCGCCAGTATTTGTATACCACCGCCACCTATCGTGCAGCCTCTGACACTACGTTTCCGTTTTCTGCCGCCAGATGTCTCCGACGCTGTCGTCGGGCCGGGCGGCCACCCCGACCGATCCGCCGGCCTCCCCCTCTTCGACCGTGCCCGGGTCACCCATGGACACTTCGCGCGCCTAGTCTACCGCCCGCCCCGCCCCCCTCCGCGCGTGGCCACGCCCCCCCCCCCCCAGCCACGCCCACGGCCACGGCTACAGCCACGCCCCTCAGCTCTTGGACCCTGGCCTGGCAGACGGGCCCCCGACCGACCACTATGGATTGGTGATACACTCTCCGTGTTTCTTTTGGGCAGCGATGGAAGAGAGAGACCACACTTACAGAAACAACAGGAGTACACGAACATGCAGCCATATGTGGTGTATGTTCGGACAGCTACATACATAATATTCTCGATTTGACGCTATACATATTGATGGATGCACATGAATTACATACAGACACTAGACACAGACAGACAGACATACACAATATACACAGAAGGTTGCCCGGTATTTCGGTACTCTCCTTCCCCCTCCTTTTTTTTTTTTGCTCCCCGTGCCGCGCCTTGAATGTTTGTTTTTTTCCGTGCCGGTGTGAGCGCGGGCGCCACGTTGGCCACACCGCACTTGTTTCACACGTGCGGTGAGGGCGCGCACGTGCGGGGCAACCCTGGCATGTGCGCTATGTGTGCTTTCCTCTCGGTGTTCGCGCTGCCGCGCGGTCCGTGATTGGTCTCTGAACTGGAACGACGGCTGTCTGGATTGACAGCCGGCCTTGCGGTGCGCTTGTGCTGCTACCTGGCGGCGGCTTTCGGTACTGCTACTTACGCCTTTCGACGCCAGGGTCGGGGTTGGCGCTGCGTCCGCTGATGTCGCTTTGATCAATACAATACGATACTGTGATTTTGAGACTTTGTGTGTGGACCGAATTTTTGTGTAATGTTACAGGCTGTAAGATGAAACATGGATTAGCAATAGCTTGGTGGAGGCATCTCTATGTGTAACGAACAAATAGGTGGTTTTCGCGCGCAATCGTCAGTCGTCCCTGTCGAAGTCATTTCACTTGCTACTTCAATGTCTTTTCAATCATAAACCCACAGGCACTCCGCCTTTTTTTGCGAAATCATGAGCATAATATCTATAAACTTACAGGCACATTAGATTGTTTCCAGTTTTTTTGTGGTCTGTTTGTAATTTCACTCGGGAAATAAAAATAAAATCAGCTGATTCGCATTTTTGCAGCAAAACATGCGCCAAAAGTGTCCCACTCGGCTTTGTTTACGATTGGCATGTGACCTTTGAGCTCGTGCTCGCTGGGTGCTTCCTCGACCTTCGATCTTTCGCGCGTTTCCGTTCTTTGCCGCTGGACCGTTGTGCTGTCGGGTTGCCGCAACTACTCCTTGAAGCAGAAACTGATCGCCGGGCACACCTGTAACTTCGCATGCTAGCGGAACGCTGCTAGGTACGTTTCTTACCCTGTAGTTTAAGCTACTTTTACCGTTTATTTAAGTGCTTTTTTAGATGTTCAGGATTTCTGTTTCCTATCTTGATCTGCATGTATCTCATACCCTCGTACTCGTCCTGTGACCAGTAGCTCAGTTTGAGTTGTCATTGATTATCAGACTGCTCTTCATGCTGATGCTCGCTCGTAACCAGTCGGCAGTCATCAAATGGACCATTATGAAGGCATAGGCATCTTGCCAAGTGATTAATGAGAGTAGAGAATAGATGAGTGGATATGTATTGACACAGCACTTCTCATTTCAGGCTGCCTTACTATCTTTGCAAGGACCGTTATCTTCTGCTGTGTTCATAATGGCAGAGATGCTGCCTCAAAATCCAGTGGAGGAGGAGGAGACGGAAGCCAAGTAAGAAATGCTGGCAGTGGCATCAGCCATCGGGGCCCTGTTTCACCGGTGATAGCAGCACGCTACTATCAAATTGCGCGAGCTGACGTAATGTGATGAGGTCACACTAATGACGTTTCGTGTAATCCGTGAGCTGCGTTTGGAACAGAGTTGCTGTCTTGTTGAATCGCGTTTGATACATTTGTCTGATCGCACGGCTGCGAAGATGTTAGCAGCAATATTTGATGACATCACACAGTTTGACGACGCCATGGTTTGTAGATGTTTCCATGGAAACCCAATTTGACACGTGTGATAGCAGCGTGCTGCTATCACTGGTGAAACAGGGCCTGGGTTCTTGATCACTGCTTTGCTCCAGCATCCATACTCCCTAATTCACTGCTGCCAATGTTCCATCAAAGCTCCCAATGTTCCCACAAAAAGGTCTTTTTGCACTGCATGGGTCACTGATTCAGCAGTATTAAGCCTTTTGGGGTTACACCTGACAAACAAGTCAGCATGAGAGTGAGCTATGCATCATGCATGTGTGGAAGTGTGAGAGCCAGATAGCACATGCTGTCTTCTTCTTCTTGGTGGATCAAAGAGCGTAGCCATCATACTTAACCATCCAACAACACACCGTAGTCTGACTGAGAGGGTATTTCCTACTGACTTGTGCTGTGTGCATGACACTGTATTGACTGAGTTTATCCCTTACCTTACCTTACCTTAATGTTGGCGGGACTATTGGAGGCCAGAGGCCTATTGGACCCGATCTCGTCGAGCTCATGCGGTACTCTTTGCTCAAACTCAGTTTATGGTAGGGATATCGTACATACGACTCGACCAGTGTCTGTCAAGGAGGTTCTTGAACCCATTCAGGGTCGGTGCGAGAACCACTTCAGCCGGCAGCGAGTTCCAGTCGTTGACCGCACGTACGCTCCAGTGGTTTCTTCGTACTCTAGTCAGAGCTCTCTTGGTTTGGCCACCTTCATCGTATGACCTCTTGTGCTTGCCGATGGAGCAGCCTGGAAGAACTCTTCTTTCTTCAGGTTCAGAAGACCAGTCATGAGCATGTAGAGCATGATGACGTCTCCTCTGCGTCTTCTGTAAAGCAAGGACGGCAGCCGTAGCCTGCGCAGCCGCTCCTGATACGGGAGATGCCGGATTTCAGTGACAAGTCGCGTGGCTCTGCGCTGGACTCTCTCCACCCAGTCGTTGATCTTCTTTGTTGAAGGGGCCCCAGATGATGTTGCCATACTCTAGGTGAGGTCGGACCAGGGTCTTGTAGAGGACTGGGAGAGTCTCGGAGTTGAGTAGCTCAAAGGAGCGTCGGATGACTGCCAGAATCTGGTTGGCCTTGCTGATGGCAACAGCAGCATGCTTCTTGAACTTCAATTCCTCGTCGATGAAGATGCCCAAGTCTTTCTCTTCTGTCACCGCTGAGAGTGGCTCCCCCAGAAGCGTGTACTGGAACCGTGGGTTACCTCTCCCGAGGTGAAGAACCTTACACTTCTTCAGGTTGAAAGGGAGAAGCCAGGTCGCTGACCAGTTCGCTGCGGCTACTAGGTCGAGTTGCAACTGGGCGCCGTTCGCGTCAGTAGGAGCCTGAGGCGGTTGCGACTGGTTTGGGCCGTACAGTTTTGCGTCGTCCGCGAACATGGCGATGTGGCTCTTGACACATTCTGGGAGGTCGTTTACGTAGATGACGAAGAGCGTCGGTCCCAAGACCGAACCCTGTGGGATGCCGCTCATGACAGGGTGTTGAATCGAGGTTGTTCCATTGATCGCCACTCTTTGACCTCGGCCAGTAAGAAATGCCTCAATCTACTTGAGCACCGGGCCTCGGATTCCGTAGCCCTTCAACTTTGCAAGCAGACGCTTGTGCGGAACAGAGTCGAAAGCTTTTCGAAAGTCCAGGTAGGCAATATCAATATGCTCTCCATTCTCCAGCTGCCGAGTCCAGTCTTCCAGAGTAGAGAGGAGTTGGGTTGCGCACGACCTCTTGGGAAGGAAGCCATGCTGGGCATCGTTGAGCTGCCCGGTCTCCGTGAGGAACTCCATGATTCTGTCTCTGACTATGCCCTCCAGCACCTTCGAAAGCACGGATGTCAGGCTTACAGGTCTGTAGTTTGCTGGTTCCAGTCTGCAACCACCTTTGAAGATTGGAACCTGAAGTGGGAGATTTATCATTTTGAGAAATTTGAGCAGAACCAGCCTAGCCATTCTTGAGATGTGGAAGCATCATCCTTCATGTGCCTATGTGCAAGCTGGGTTCCAACTGACTTTTGCACGGCACCCCACTAACCTAACCGGTCCCTAACCATGTACCAAATTTCAACACAACTGGCCTAGCCGTTCTCGAGATGTGGAAGCAACCCCTCCATGTGCGCACGTGCAGGCTGCAGCCATGACACATTGGAACCCCCGACAGTGACACATTGGAATGCATTGTCTGATTGGCGCCTATGTACTTACCTGGCAAGTTTCACCGCAATCGGCCGAGTAATTGGGGAGATATTGCAATGGTAACAAACTGGCGCCTCTTGGTTCTGCATGTGGTACATGCATTTGTAGCCTCCTGCACGCATCAGAACTGGTTGAATATGGGGAATAAGGGATGAGGCTTCGTAACAAAAGACCGGGAGTAAATCGGTCTAGTGGTTGCAAAGATATGAGCCCCACAAAAGCGGCCGGCCCGCCGCTCATATTCAGAAATTACCCGTGGCCGTATTCTATGGGAAAACTTCAGTTTGCTCCGTCGTTCATAACAAACAAACTGGAGCGAGTATGCAGTGTATGGGCTCGCACCCTCCGAATACTTTCATTGCCATCCCTCCAATCTATTCAGCATTTTCTTGCAATGTGTAGACCAGAATTGCTAATGCATTCATAACACATGCTTCTTTAATTTTCGATCTTCAATCTTCTTCAGTCTTCCACTTTGCCTTCAGAGATGACCCTACCTTCATCTCTTTATGGCCGTCTTACAACTTCACCTCGGTCACGTCCCCAGTCAGCTGCTGCTTCGTCACGCCTCCCAGAGCTCCCTGGACGAGAGTTCCCAGCGTCAAAGCCAGCGGGAGCCAGCGCCGGATCGGCCGCCCTACCGGAACACCTCACACAGCGCGCGCGCCTTTCAGCAGATGTTCTCCATGAGACGGTCAGTGGTGGGGGCCGTGAGGGCGAGTTTGGTGGGCATTTGGTGGGGAGGTAGGAGTTTTGTGCCTTCTAGCCTTCAGGGACGAAGAGAGTCTGTAAGGACAAGTTTCGTGGGTCAGATGTACAGATGTACTAGGTCAGATGTAGGTATTGGTTCTAGGTTTGACCCTAAACTCGTGGTTAAGTTGATTGAATTTCATATTTTCAGGTGTTTTGTTTAAAATTTGAATACAGATATATGTCGATACTAATAATGATTATACTATTACTTCGTTCTCCCTGTTGTCTAAACAATCCCATCACTGACGACGTCACCTCTTGCACAGGGAGCGGGCTCTGTGTGACGTCATCCTGGAGGTGGACACCCGAGAGATATACGCGCACAAAGTGGTGCTGGCCTCTGCCAGTCCCTACTTCCGGGCCATGTTCACAAGTGAGTGCGAGGGGAACGGGGCCAGGGGGAACGCTGGAGGGGAAGGGACGCTGGACAGGAGGGGAATGAGTGAGGGAGATGGGAGGGGAAGTGAGCGAGAGATAGAGAAAGGGAGAGAGGACTTTGCTGGAGACAGGAAGTAAGGATATAGAGTGTGCTGTTCTGCATCCTTGATAAGCTGCTGTCATAGCATCAAGGTCATTGAAGTTCTGTTCTTACGACTCAGATCTTCCCCACTCTAACTGACATAAATTGCAAATAAATCGCAATGTCGGCCTTCGTGACAAATGCGATCTGTAAACACACTCTTACCTGGTTCTCTTACTTGGTTAGAGGGTGTTTACGGATCGCATTTTGTCACGAAGGCTGACCCGATGCAAATACCACCTCACTTCTTGCACCAACGATCCCCACACATTGCTCCTATTACTGACGGCATGTGCTTGACGTCACGTTCTCCGCCATGTTCAGGTTTCGAGGAGAGTCGCCAGAACCGCGTTAAGCTGCAGGAGATGGATCCCACCGCCCTGGAGGCACTGGTGGATTACATCTACTCCTCAGAGATTCGCGTCACGGAAAACAACGTGCAGGTGTGTACTGTAGCTACTGTTGTTCAGTGTGTTGGTCACGGCTGTTTGATGCTTAGGTTGTTCTGTAGGTTGTGTTAGATTTGAGTGGTTGTTTCGCTCATTTGGAAACTGACTGCTTTACGGGAGAACTTCGAAAAGACGACAAATGCATTCAAAGTACGATTAATGGTGTTCACCAGTTTCAATGTTGTTGAGATTAATTCACGTGCCCGGTTAAATTATAAGCCGGTCGTTTCCGGCGCTATCGTCGAGTTCCTGATGCTGCGCGGTTGATATCTTAGATTTCCGTTCAATATCTGACCCTGTCGTGAATGCCGGCTTTATCTAACGTTCCCGCCTTTTTCTAATGCTCCCGTCCATATCTTTCATCACCTCCTGTGTCTTTCGTCCCCGCCTTCCTCTGATGTTGCTGCCGCCTGTGCCGCAGATCCTGCTGCCTGCCTCGAACCTGCTGCAGCTGGGGGATGTCCGTGACGCGTGCTGCGAGTTTCTGCAGAGCCACCTCCATCCCACCAACTGTCTCGGTACGTGCCGCTGTGGCCGGGTGATGTTGTGTGGGTAGGTACGAACCGCTTCGGGCTGGCGAAAGGGGTTTGCGTACAGGTCTCGCGGGTTTTAGCGGTAGGTTTTGCACCTAGAAAATTTAGTGTACTTCAGGCTATATCTTCGTCGTCTTAAGCTTTTAAGTGTTGAAGATGCGATCGACTTCTTGGGTAACAAGCTGGCCATGATCGTGTAAAAAGGCTTCATCGTAGATCGATTAGTTTCTGAGATATAACCGGAAATGTAAAAGTGCAAAACCTACTGCTTAATCTCGCAAGAGCCGTACGTACTTGGTTCACATTCATTCCCATTTAATTGGGGTTAGGGACTCGTATCCTGCTAGACTCAATCTCGCCAAATAATTAGGTAGAAAAGGTAGGTAGTTTTGCCAATATTTTGTGCCACGCGTGACTTGTTTTGGCACGAGATTGTAAATGGGCGAGTGAAACGAGCTCTCCTTATGTTGTGGTCTACGTATGTTTCTGGTCCTCACAATACGTTACACCCTCAGCGCTTACACTGTGACTTTGAGTGTGCATGTTTATCTAAAATCTACTGTTTCTGTGTCTACTCGCCAGGTATCCGTTCCTTTGCCGATCTTCACGGCTGTGTCGACCTGAAAACAAACGCCGACGCCTACATCGAACTCAACTTCAGGTGAGAGGATTGGAATTGGGCGGCTGGTCAAGCCTGTTGCATGACAATTTTTTGATGATTAAATTTGATTGTCAATTATCATGGTTTCTAACGCTCCTTGTCCAATAGTTATATGAAGTGCCATGTTCTGGGAGTGTCTAACTCGTTCCCACCCACTCCCGCAGTGAGGTGGTGGAGTGTGAGGAGTTTCTCACTCTGACCGCCGACCAGGTGATACAACTCATCTCGTGCGATCGACTCTCCGTGGCCAACGAGGAAAAGGTGCGTATTGGTTTCCCGTGAGTTAAGCGCGCTCGCAACTCATGAAAGATCGTGTTCTGTGAATGCGAGTTTTCTGCGCCCCACCAGACCCCTTTTCTTTTACAGTTTATATATTTTTTCAGATCCACGCTGCTTATTTGTCTGTCATTTGTACGACCTACCTATGCTGTTTGAAGTGTTCCGTGCATCCCACCCGAGGGGTGTTCACGGGCACCGCACACTGCTGCGTGCGGTGTGTGCGGTGCGTCCAGCAGGCGTGGGGGTAGGGGATGGGAAGGCGGCTCTGACGTCACGGCTGCGTGCGGCGGACGGTTTCCTGTGGCCGGTCCCGACCGGCCACAGCGGTCGCTGTGTGCGGTGACGGAAGGCTGACGTAGGGACGCAGTGGGCGGAGCTTGGAGGGCTGTGTGCGGTCCGACCGCACACAGGGCCCGTGAACAGCCCTCCGGCCACTTAGCTCTAGTATCCGTGTATCATTCTATTTTTGACCCATGCTATGTTTTTCTCTATCAGGTGTACGAGTGTGTATTGAGATGGATCAACTACGACCTTCCGGCCAGGGAACAGCACCTGGCCGACCTGATGTCCCAGGTATGAACCACAGGGAGAGTCGATAATGACGATAACCAAATTATGCAGTGCTCTTTAAACCGACACATTCAAGCGATTTAACGAAAAGTGCACGTGAAGCCTCAATGCCCGAAGTTCTGTTCAGCTTAGATATCACCCTACTCTTAATTCTACTTTTTGACGGTATTTTCATTCCTATGACTTGTGTCGCGTTGTATTTGATTGTGGACTTGAAGCGATCTGCCAGCGTTGCATACACAGTACACACATTACGCAGTCTTTACTCTGCCTTTTGCTCTGCCTTTACTCTGCCTTACTATATTTTGCCATTGTCCATTTCACTCACTCTGTGATGTGTGTGTGGTCAGGTTCGTCTGCCGCTGCTGTCCCGGGACTTCCTCGTGCAGCAGGTGAAGAAGGAGCCTCTACTGCAGCCGAACGCCGCCTGTAAGTACCGAGTGATCACTGTACCTAAATATGACAATTATAATATGACTATTCACCTAAAGTTGACAACAGATCAGCTACCTGCCTGTCTGGTACAGACGCCCAGTATGCCTGCTGATTTAATTGCCTCGGGCTGCTTGCTGCGATGACACAAAATCAACACTTTCAGCGAATGGGCTTTCACGTTAGTTTTTTTTTTTACCGCTGACTATTAACTGTCTGGAAGAAGACGTGATCTCAGTCTTTTTCGTCACTTCTGTGAATGAGGTATTACATCAGTGTTGACACGTTTACAGTAACAGTAACTATTCATAACCTCACTTTGTCGTGATCTGTTTCTTCATTGCCTAGTGCGTGGAGTGCCTCATTACGATGAGTGATTTCGTGGTACACAACTTCATTATTTTTGTTTTCCTAGGTAAGGATTTTCTGATCGAGGCACTGCTGTACCACCTGTCCGTCTCTAACGACGGAGGACCGGCCGTGGAGAGTCTCCGGACCAAACCCCGCCAGCCCGTCGGACTGCCGAAGGTAATGGGTGTTAGTGTAAGATAAAGGATAACATTAGGAATACTGGAGAAATGAGAGACAGTGTGCGTTCTGGAGACCAGCAGGGTCTTTCACCTTGATTATTATAATTTGTTATTATACAACATCATCTATTTTAATGTTACCCTTTTGCGCTGTCTCTCGTCTTTTCGTGCATCAACGGAAATAATAATTTGAACGGGGCCTCACTGGCCCGGTGACCTGAAACGGAAGGCAATATTATCCTCCACTGTGCTATTGGCACGTATTTCCCATCAAGATCCCGTGTCATGCCATGATAGTATTGCCTGCTACGCTACCGCTATGTCACACGTTTCACCTCCGTCTCTCTATGTCAGATTCTGCTGGTGGTGGGTGGTCAGGCGCCCAAGGCCATCCGCTCAGTGGAGGCGTACGACCTCAAACAGGAGAAGTGGCTCTCACTCTCCGAGATGCCCATCAAACGATGCAGGTTTGTGTGTCTGTTTGTCGGTGATCGGTTGATGTCAGTCGGTCCATTGCCGGGCTGTCGGTTTGTGTGACAGGGTGCGGGGGAACGGGTGATGTTTCTGGGAGAGGCGCGCGGTGTATTGGTATTCGTTTTTCCATTATTTGAAGTCGACGTATAAAGTAGGTATATAAGAAGGTTTATCATGTGTTGTATTGGCAAGACTCAAACCTGTCATGCAAACGTCACTTAGGCACATCATCATCAGGATATCTAGTGTAGCCTCGTAGCACGTTAGCACCTTATGTTTTGTCAAGTCACCGGTTATCACCGATGAACCGGGCGCGGGCAAGGCGGGGTGGTGGGTCCGTGGTGTCATTCGCAACAAGCACTGCTTAGCGGGGCACCCGGGCCCAATGCCACCCTGATTCATCCATTGGGACAAAATTTATATAAAAAAGTCCTTTATAACCCGCCTTCCTAACCCCTAGTTCCGTTTTCCGCCGCCAGGTGCGGCGTGGCGGTGCTGGACGGCAAAGTATACACGGTGGGCGGCTTTAACGGCTGTCTCCGTATCCGAACTGTCGACCTGTACAATCCCCAGACGGACACCTGGCAGGGGTGTGTCAACATGGAGGTGCGACGATCCACGCTCGGCGTGGCAGTGCTCAATGACTGCATCTACGCGGTGAGAGGGGGAGAGGAGCTGGAGAGATGGAAGGGCCACAGGGGTCAGAGGGAGGTAGTGGAGGAATGGGAGCTAGATGCGTTTTTGGGGCAGGGGAGAGCGTGGGTCAGCGCAGAACAGGTATTGGAGGGAAGGAACTGGCTGTCTGGGTAGCGAGTTCTTTTGGGTCTCTCGAGTTCTGGATGTTTCGGTTTACGCTGTTTTCTTTTATCTCCTTGAGTAGCAAGAATTGGGTATGATATGGCACCAACAAAATGCACATCTGCCTGGTTTGACTGGTCCATGCTGCGGTGAATTACGGTCTAATTTAATCTCGAGCTGATCTTTCCCGCTGTCGATCTGATGAGATACTTTTTGAGGGGATTTTTAGGGTTTGCTTTAAACTGCTATTAGTTAGCTCTCTGGGAAGTAAGATTTAAACGATGGAAGGACAGCAGCAAAATGCAAAGTGCATGGTGCATGCCTCCTGATTTGACATCAGGCTTACCTGTGTATTCTCTTCTAAAGCTGTCATGGTAAAATGTCTGGATCTTTTCCACCACACTTGTTGCTCATCACTTGTAACGAATTTTTGACTCATAACTTTGACTAGCTTACCGTAACCCGAGACATACCATTCCAACGTGACCCCTTATGTGACCCAACGGCCAACCGAATACCCAATTACCCATCCCCGGCTCTGACCCTCCCGTGACCTGACCCCCCCCCCCTCGTCACGCAGGTGGGCGGTTTTGACGGTTGCACGGGTCTCAACACGGCCGAGGTGTTTGACCCTAGAGTAGGAGAGTGGAAAATGATTGAGCCCATGTCTGTGAGAAGGAGCAGCGTCGGCGTCGGCGTGGTCAACGGCATCCTGTACGCGGTGAGTTGGGAGCGGAGTTAGTGAGTGTGGTGAGTTGGGAGGGAAGTAGGTGAGAGCTTGATGGCTGAGTTTAACTGTTATATTAGGGGCTAAGTTCTGAGTTGTCCGCAACCACAAATCGGCGACGGGGCCAAATTATGGTATAGGGTATGACATGGCAGTTGATTTGGATGGCATAGAATATTTGTGGTTAGTGTTCGGGAGAGTTATGATATAATTTTCGATCAACTGTTGTATTAGATTTTGTGGTTTTTAGTACGACTTCGATCTCTAGGCATCGCCGCCCATAACCTCTCTATTTCATTCACTTCTGTCCACCTTTTATCGCGCCCCAACCCCTCGCAATTTGGCGGTTATGACGGTACCGTGGTGACTCAACGTAACATCTCTGTCCCTCTCTTAACCCCCTCTGCCCCTCTGTTACCCCTTCTGTTAACCCCCTCTGCCCCCGCCCCCTCCAGGTGGGCGGCTATGACGGCGCCAGTCGGCACTGTCTCTCCTCAGTGGAGGATCTTAGTAACCCCCTCTGTCCCCCTCCCCAGGTGGGCGGCTATGACGGCGCCAGTCGGCAGTGTCTCTCCTCAGTGGAGGATCTTAGTAACCTCCTCTGTCCCCCCTCCCCAGGTGGGCGGCTATGACGGCGCCAGTCGGCACTGTCTCTCCTCCGTGGAGGATCTTAGTAACCTCCTCTGTCCCCCTTCATCCCCGCAGGTGGGCGGCTATGACGGCGCCAGTCGGCACTGTCTCTCCTCAGTGGAGGATCTTAGTAACCTCCTCTGTCCCCCCTCCCCAGGTGGGCGGCTATGACGGCGCCAGTCGCCACTGTCTCTCCTCCGTGGAGGATCTTAGTAACCCCCTCTGCCCCCCTTCATCCCCGCAGGTGGGCGGCTATGACGGCGCCAGTCGGCACTGCCTCTCGTCCGTGGAGGCCTACAACCCGGAGCTGGACAGGTGGACCATGGTAGCGGAGATGAACGACAGACGATCCGGCACCGGTGAGGATGAGGGGAGGGGGGGAAAGGGAAGGGAAGAGACACAGACAGAGTAGGCTCACCTTGACTTTTAAGTAATTCACATTGGTATATCGTATTTTTGTATTCAATTAAAAGAACGCCAACTTTATAACATTGATTACATGCGTATAGTTCGTTTTTCTTAAGTTCGACCCTCACTGTAATCGTCTCTTTGAACACAGCACGAGAATTGCTAGCTGAATTGCTTAGAAAACTGGCTGGCGCACATTGATTTCACAGACGATTAATTTTACTCAAAATTATTTCTTCCTGGCTCTTATTTCCCAGACTCCTAGCTCGTAGTTGCCTTTATATACAACCCCACAGAGATAGACATCTTGTCAGAAATTATAACTGAACTGATCAATAGATCGTACGGCGTTTAACAGAACGGTATATCATCGGTTTTTAAAACTTATTTGGAAAATATTATTCATGTCTGCAGTACAATGTGCGCTAACCAGTTTTCTTAGTAATTCAGCTAGCAATTCTCGTGCTATGTTCAAAAAGATGTTTACAGTGAGGGTCGAACTTAGAAAAAACGAACTATAATCACTTCTAAGCTCCGAGATGGAGGGGCCATTTGTGGCATGCAACGTACGATATTGGCTTTCTTCGTTTACAAAGGAAACTAAATGACATAATTAACTAATTTTGCTGTAATTTAACGCATAACGACAGCAACGCACATGGAAGAACGCGTATGCTCATATTTGCGAAGGAGATAAATCCACCCCATTTTTTCCCTGTCGCTGCGCGGTTTTTCGCCTCCGTATCAAAGTGCGCCACTAGTGTAGTCAGCCGCGGTGGCGTCTTTGCCTTTGCTTCGCCGCCATTGTCGCTCTGTGTCGATAGCGGCGCGCTGCGTCAGGCTGGCGGCGAACGTGGCGCATTTGCCGCCGCCGCTGCGGCTGACGCGGCGCTGACGGTGCGAATGTGGCGCCCCCCCCCCCGGAGCTGGACAGAGGGGGGGGTCAGTGGGCGGTCTGGCGGGACGTGAGAGGACACCGAAAAAAATGTCCCGGCTCGCTCTGCTGGCGGTAGAGGTTTTGCGGGACGGAAGAGAGCGTTGTATTGTGTTGCTAGGTGACTGAAGACATGTCCTTGTCAGCTGATTTGCTATTTAGGTTTTGTTGGTGTATGCCCGGTGTTTAACAGGCAGAGTGTTGATTCATACTGATGTTGACTGAAATTGTGCCAGCTAAGGATTTGATTTCTTTACCCTTGGCACATGTTGCGGAGGGCGGCGAGCGCCGACAAGATAGGCGGGAGTGGGAGGGGTAGTGGGGGATGGAAGAGGGGAGGCAGGGTAGGGAAGAGGTGGAGATAAGGCATGGGGCTTGCCAGAGGCAGTGAATGAATTTAGAAAGGATGCAACGAGTAACGGATCATGAGGGGTCTGGTAATTAAGGGTGTTTTCAAGTATAGTACAAATTATAGAGATGCTTCCACGGGAGGGATTTATTGAGAAGGGGGCTAGGTAGTTGTAGGATTGGGAGATAATAGAAGCATGAGGGAACTGCTGTTTGGCATGCAATAATTCAGAACTCGACGTCTTAAAGCGGTCTTTGCCTCGGCTCTAGCTTTTCATTTTACTGCGCCCACAAAGAACTGAGTGACGGAAGCTCATCGCACCATAACTTCAATAGAAATCTTCATTCAAATGAGAACCCAGTGAAAATCCAATGATAATCTTCTGAAGGTGGAATTCACCACCCGTGCCAAATGAACTCTGCCACCGCCAGCCTGCCGACTTTTTCACCGCCAATGTGGCGAGCTCAGCAGCCGCAGAAATTGCGTTAGCCGCCGCGTGTGGAAGCTGAATATTTCTCTTTGCGTTACGGGCTGGGCTCCGGGCTGGTTTCGGGTATGGTTTGAAAAAAGAGAATGTGATCAGCGGGGATTTTAGCACTGAAAACAGTGTTCTGAGCACGAGAAGTTCGCTGGCTTGTGCTTCTCGGTCCAAATCGTGAAGGGAAAATGTTGAAATATTCCGAGATTGTAAGTGCGTGCTGAGACGATCGTTCACTCAGCCGGAACCTTCAAATGCTGTTATCAATCCCGAGAGACGAATCCCTTGTTCTTTTTACGCTTAGCTGTCTGAACTAGCTATTGCATAATCATGTTTTTCTGTTTTACCTACTATGAAATTCAGCAAAACGCTCTTTGTTCCACAAGTTTCCTTTTGAAGCTCTCAGCTCAGCACATCCCACCTATTCTGCATAACATCCACACATTCCACCCCGAGTAGATAACAAATCCTTGATTCTACCCCGCCACTATATTCAGCCCCTATCCATTCTCTCCTAAGATCCGGCCAGTATCTTCCCTCCGCTGCATTTCCCTCTCATTTGGACCATAACACACCTCCCCTAGTACATAACCCCAGCTTTACTGGGTACGTGTGCCGGCTTTATTGAAACTCTACGTCTTCGAGCGAGTACAATTGTCTGGGTCGGCGGGCCGTGATGACAGCGTCTGGGTCCACCCAGGTCCTGTCGGGGCAGATTTGTATGGGGCTGACGCGGCATGGTAAGCTGGGGCTGGCAAGGAGGAGGCTGCTGGGGTCGCCTTCGGGAAGGGGAGGGAGGTAGAGTGCTTTTAAATATTATCAGTGATAGCGATATTTTAAATATTTCTTAACACGCTGTGGTAGTTTTATACAGTGTCGTATCTCTCTCTCTCTCTCTCTCTCTCTCTCTCTCTCTCTCTCTCTCTCTCTCTCTCTCTCTCTCTCTCTCTCTCTCTCTCTCTCTCTCTCTCTCTCTCTCTCTCTCTCTCTCTCTCTCTCTCTCTCTCTCCCCTCTCCCTCTCTCTCTCTCTCTCTCCCCTCTCCCTCTCCCTCTCCCTCTCCCTCTCCCTCTCCCTCTCTCCCTCCCCATCCACTCGGCATGTGTGCTCAGCACGGGCCGGCTCACACTAATGAACTCGGGATAAGACGGACGGCCAACCTCCGGGCCCTGGACTCTTATGTCTGGACTCCGGACTCCGGAGTCTGGGCTCAGCCTCGCTTCTGGCGAAACGGGACTGGGATGGAGGGGGTAGGGTGGCGCTGAAAGTGGGTCAGTGGGGAAATAGGGAGAGTGGGGGAACTGAAATGTTTACGAGAGGAAGAGTGAGAGGAGAGAGAGAGAGAGAGAGAGGGGGGAAAGGGAGGGAAGAAAGAGGAACTGCGAGAGGGAAAGAATGTTATGGCTTGACAGTCGGTAATCTATTTCGAGTATCGCGAAAGCTTTCTAACCTCGTTCCCCGCGGTTGACCTTCCACTAGCTTCCTTCTCCTTCCCCTTACATCACCAGCTCTCCCCCACTCATCTCTAATGACATCTGGGTGCCTCTATTGGCCCCTTCCACCACACTCCCAACCCAATGACCTTCATAACCCCTGCCCTTTACCGCTGACGCTCACATATCTATACTAACCCCATTGACATCCATCCCCTACGGAGCTTCCCAGAACACACTGATCTCTTCCCTTATCGACCCCTCACTGACGCTTTATTGACCCCCTCACTGACCCCCCCCCCCTCACCCCCAGCTGACCCCCCCCCCCCCTCCCCCGCAGGTGTGGGTGTTCTGGACGGCCTGCTGTACGCGGTTGGCGGTCACGACGGCCCCACAGTTCGCAAATCAGTGGAGGTGTACAACCCGCTGATTAATACCTGGTCACCGGTGGCCAACATGTCAACCTGTCGACGGAACGCTGGTGAGAGGAGTAGGGGAGGAGGGAGGGAAGGAGGAGACGTCATAGAGACAGTATGTCCTCTCAAGAATGCTTTTTAGTTGACATTAACTTTTTGTAATTTGTTTTTTTTTGTGCCTTTATCGTGCCTTTATGTTTATCGTATATTATTATACCATTGTTCGCTATTACATAATCTGAGTGGTCAAGTATCAAACAATGCGGTCGATTCCTATATATTCACCTTGCCTGGTGCATAGATGTGTTTCGCATCAATCACCGTACTTACCATGTTAGTGAATAATATTTTTTTATTATGTTCGCTCAGCCACCACTGGCTTTGTCGGGCACATAGTGGCTCACTAATTAAACAAATCCATCAAAGAATTACACACTCCGTTGGCGAATATTTAAATAACATGATATGCGCGGCTGCTGCCCAAGAAAAATATTGTTATTATATTTTCATAATAGCTTTATATTGATGCAATAACCTAAATGCAATCTACAGGGCCAGAATTTTGTCCAAATTAACTCTAATGTAATATTCCACGCAAGTCTGGTTAAGCTGTCCACTGCTTTTCATAGAGATGAGAACATGCCTTCCCCTAACACTGTCTATTCAAAGATAAATTTCGCGTTTTTTGCCGTTTCATTGATGCTGAGTGCTGCAATTTTGGTGTGTGCCAAATGCTGCGGTGTTACAGCTTTTAGCTATTATTCCGATGTGGGGTCATTCGAGCAAGATATGGCTCAAATGTATGACATCAAATGGAGTAAGCTATTACTACCATAGCCTGCAGCTAACTTTTTTTCTAACACAGTGCGCGGATACGACATAGTTTCATCTGTTGCGTTATATAATATAATATGAAAACAGATACATAGCCTTTGTAGTTTCAGGATTATTCTGGCTGGACGTATTCGCCTTATATTCCATAACAACACAATGGGTTCCAATTCTAGAGTGATTCTAGCCCCACAGATATTTTAGTGATTTTTGTTAAGGAAGAAAGTAATGGTGGTCGCGTTTGCTACCATGTTACCGGGTCTACTTTCTTCGTTTCCTATTATTTAGTTTTCTTATGTTTTTTCATTCATGGGCCATGGTTTGGGTCCCAGTGAATCAGATTATATGGTTTTGGGTTGACCCGCCATTATTAAATGCAGTCAATTTCAAAGGTCCCACAAAAATTTGACAGTGTAATTTGTTCATCCTGCGAGGAGCTGAGATACTCTTATTCCAGAGAATCACTGACCCCACTGAAGGGAGACTTGTAGATTAGTGGAGGGTTTCAGGCCACCAACCCGAGACACAAGCTTTATGCGTAATACAGAAGCTCCCAGTTACAGTGCCGTGAATAAAGAGGGGTTCATTTAGGCGTGATAAAGAGACTCTTCACACCCGGATCGTATGAGCTCTCTGTAATGAGGTGGCGCCTCTGATCTAAAGAGATGCGAGTCTCATTGCTAGCTCGATGCGAGACGTGCTTTGACGTGATGTAATTAAATAGTGCACTACTGGGAAATGGGACTTGCTGTAGATGGCGGTTTCTTGGGTAGCATCGTCATTGATATTGAGGCTTCATAAGTGTTGCGTCCGGTAGCGCCCATATTAGAAGGAAAACCCTGACATTGAAGGCATATCATGTTTTATTTGATTTGTTTGGGTCCTGATTTTCCTGGATCCGGGCTTTGGTCGAAGAGCTTCTGCATGATTTCATTGCCGGGATGATCAGGTAAATTTGGACAGATCTGTGCTGTAAAATATTTAGAATCGCGGGTGGTACTTGCCACTTTGGTGCTGAAAATAAGCACCTATTTCAACCTTGTTGCATTTCTTAATGGGTATATCTCATTTCGATATCATGGTTCGCTAGAATTTGAACCGCATCGTATCAGTGAAGATTGTGATATCACCGTCTCAATCTTCGAAAAGTGTGTAGGATCTAACCTTGCAGCCCGGGCAAATGTAGCACAAGGATGTTTGTCAAACATTGAGCGGCATTTTCCTTATCCGTTTGTCGACAGAAGTATGTGAATTTTTAGACACTGGAGGCTCAATTTCTGGCTACGATTCATACTACATAGTATGCCTAATGCCGTAGTCTATGGTGGTTGAACAAAAGCGATTAAATGTGAATTATCTATTTGAGTTGGTGTTTAATTATTAATATCATTTTTATTATTGTCTTCTTCTTTCTTTTTTTTTGGCAGGGCGACGAGTTCCTCTCTTTCCCCCAGTCCCCTAACGCAGATCATACCCAATATACCCTGGATCATGCCTACCTACTCGGAACAAGGCTTACTGCGTTAGGTACGCAGCGACGCATTGCTGTAATTAACTTTCCATGTCGCTGGGATACGGAACCATTACATAATCCTGCGTTTAATATGAATTCGTGCATGTAGTTCATTAACAAGGTACAACGGTGCGTCATCTATGCGTTGCCTTACGGCTTACGAGTTGTACTGAATTTGATAACTCCGCCTAATTTCACGTGCGAAATTGCGTTAGGAAAAATTGTTAATGATGAAATTTTAGCGCTCAAGACTAAGTTGCAACAGAATCGACTTCAGATCACTTCATATAAATGATGAGTATCTAAACCCATTACTTTACTAAATGTTGAGTTAAAAACTTTATCAAAACCAATTACTTTCATTTAGCAACGACTCCCTTTTAATGTGTTAAAATTGCAGTACTGAGTCGAAGTTGCTCTCCCGCCCCACCTCAACAATGCTGGCTCAGTCCTGGCCAAGTCCTGGCGGTCCTGGCTCACCCTTTCGCTTTTCCGCAAACAAATCAATTACTTCCCCGAAAGCTCGTGCCGAGGCAGCTCCGATCGCCTCCGTCTAAAGTTTGCACTCTCCAAGTCGGCTAGTTGGCTGAGCTAATGAGCTGAGTTGGCTGAATGAGTGTTGACTGTTGTTTGCCACCACGGTGGTGTCAATGCGTTGTTAGCAGACTTCCTTGGAGTCTACTAGGTCACTTAGGTCAGGCATTGAACCCTCCGTGTGAGGCTCAGACACTAAGACGCCATCCCCAGAAGCTCGTCTCTCTCTCTCTCTCTCTCTCTCTCTCTCTCTCTCTCCTCTCTCTCTCTCTCTCTCTCTCTCTCTCTCTCTCTCTCTCTCTCTCTCTCCCTCTCCCTCTCCCTCTCTCTCTTCCTCTCTCCCTCTGCTGCTGCCCTTCCTCCATGTCTTAAAGTTTTATTTATTTTTTACCCATTCCTTATTTTTCTTTCATCTCCATTTTGCTTGATTTTTTGTCTGTCATTTTTTCTTTTTTCCCCTGCTTCCAAAGCCAAGCGTTTTCCTAATTCCTTCATCGATCCCCTGCTCTCCCTGTTCCGCCCCTCTCCCGTCATTATCCTCTGCCCCTCTCTCTCGGAGGTATTTTGCTCCCACCAGCAGTAGGATTTACGGCATCATCAGTGCTGGCTAGCACGGACGCTCTCCAGACTCCCAACTAACCTCCCTCCCCTCTCCCCTCCCTCCTCCTCTCTCCTCTCTATCCTCGTCTCTCTGCTTCCCAGCGCCGCTCTGAATAAGACCTCGCTGCCGGCAGAATAGCAACGAACGCGCATTGTCCCGCTCTGAATCGGAGCCGCGCACGCGCTCTGGCGAATGTGGAGCGACGAGAGATGATGATATTGCCATTAGGAGAGGGATGTATTGTCTTTGGTCGGTTATTAAATTTCCCGAGATAAAGGAGGTTCCGGCGGAGATTCACGTTATTTACGGGAATTTTCAAGCTGCTAGTTATTTCGGTTTGATTTTGGCGCGCACAATCCTATAGTTATGTTGCATTGTTATCGTCTTGAAGCTTTTTGTTAGTTATACATATATAGGTGAGTATGCGCTTTCAAGAGGGAGATATGTATAATGCTGTTTGGAATATGGTGCTATGGAGGCCTGAAACGGTACCGGTTGAAGCATCAGGCAATAATGTTGTTTCTAACCCAGATAACGTATATGTTATATTAACTGCATAATGCATATATTACATTTAGCTTCCATCGCGCAATCAATAACTTCTTGCGATTTCCGGCATATCGTATGTTGTTTTGCCGCACCAGTCTCGTTTCATTATTTCTGTCGCTCATTTACTGCTTAGTCTGACGAATAATCCGTCACTAACCAACTGCTATCAGTAATTGATGGTAATTGATTATATTACTCGGACACTGATGAAATCACTGACCGAAAAACTCAGCCCAGTTGCGTTTTTCCGCTATATCCCCGGCCGGCGACACGTGACCTTTACACGGTGGTCCCGCCGGCTGCGGTATACGTCTTCGTTATGTCTGACAGCTAATCCACTTTTGTCGTACGCGGATGACGAATCTGAGGCTATGCGAGCGGCACGGAGAGTCCTGCTGTGGGGAGGGGGGAGATGGGGGATGGAAAGATGACGTATTGGGGGAGCTGTGCCTGTGGAGGTTATTTTGGGGTCGGTGTGTGTCTGGAGCTGGGATAGGGTGGTTGCTTGGTTAGTTGGTAAGTAAAAGGCGTAGATGTGGATGTGTGGGACTTGGTAGGGTTACAGGGGTAGGGCTATAGGGTTTTGCTGCGACAAATCCATATACTTGCTATCTTTTGGTGTTGTTTCTTAAATGTTGGAGTAATATGACAAAACAAAGAACAAACATAAGAAATTCACAAACAGGACCTAAAATCACATGGCTCTTTATCCGTGCCTGCAACAAAGCCTACCCTCGACCGCCGTTGCCGCCCCCGCCACCGCCGCCGTCGCCATCACCGCTATCGCTTACACCCTGGTCGGAAATATTGTGTTTTGTCGATAGTCGGGTCGGTCGGTCGGGTGGGCGCGGTGCCGTCTTAATGCCTCTAATATCGGCCGGCTGGGGCTGACGTGTGACCGATCGGTGTGGCCCGTCAGTCCTCCCTCGGTCCGACCTCGGCCAGCCCTCTACCCCCTCTTTCCGCCTCCCTTCACTCTCGCTCCTCCCTCTGCAGCCCTCTGCCCTTCTGTCATCGAGTCCCACCCTCAACATATCCGCCCTTTGCTATTACCTCGCCCTCTGCCGTGGGCTTTCCAGTTTGTTCTCCGCCATTCGCCCTCTATCTTTCTCCCTCTCTATCTTTCTCCCTCTCTCTCTCTCTTTTTCTCTCTCTCTCTCTCTCACTCTCTCTCTCTCTCGCTCTCTCTCCCTCCCCTCTCTCTCCCTCTCTCTCTCTCTCTCTCTCTCTCTCTCTCTCTCTCTCTCTCTCTCTCTCTCTCTCTCCTTTTCTTCCCCTCTTATCACCCCTCCCTCCCTCTCCTCTCTCCAACCCCTACAATCCAGTATTCACCCCTCTAACCTCACCCCCCTCTCTCCCCTCAGGCGTGGTGGCGCACCACGGCCTTCTGTACGTGGTCGGCGGGGATGACGGTGCCATGACTCTGAAGACGGTGGAGGTGTACAACCCCAAGACGGACACCTGGACCCTGCTGCCGACCACCATGTCGACGGGAAGGAGCTACGCTGGCGTGGCCGTCATCGACAGGGCGCCCGGACAGATCTGAGAGCGCACGGGAAAGACGTTAGGGCGCCCGGAAAGACGTGAGGGCGCCCGGGAAAAACGTGAGGGCGTCTGGACAGATATGAGGGCGTCCAGGGGAGAGCTCTGAGGGCGCTGGGGAAGAGCTCTGAGGGCGCTCTGAGCTTGTGACGGCGTCTGGACAGATATGAGGTCACCCAAGGGTGTGAGGGCGCCCAGGGGATGACGTGAGGGCGTCAGAACAGCTCTTAGGGCGACATGATAGCTCTGAGAGCGCCTGTAGGGCTCTTAGGGTGCCAAGGGCGTCCAGGACAATTCTAATGACGCCCAGGGCGTCTGAGAAAGAACTGAGGACACTCGAGAGAGATGTGAATGCGCCCAGGGGACCTAAGGATGCGAGGAGACAGTCCTGTGGGTCGCTGCATTTGGGATGTGTTAGGGCTCTTAGAGAGACATGAGGGCGACTTGTCCCTGGGGGGAGATATGAAGGCGCCCGGGGGAGATGTTAGTGTGTGGGGAGATATGATGGTGACATTGGGGAGATGCATTAGGACATTTTGGGAGATGTGAGGGCGCCTAGGAGTTTCTAGGACTTTAGGGGTAGGCGGTTAATTGAGAGAGCGCCGGGAACGCTTGACCAATGACAGCGATTTGGCTGACGCAGGTGCGATTTGAAAGCGATGAGGGCATCTTTGACGATATTTTGTCTCCCGGTGAAAAATGGGAGTTTGGGGTAGATATATAAGGGCATATTGACAGCTGTGCAGGCACACTGGGAGAGGATTTAGGACACTTTGGTAGATGTAGGGTGAGAGACAATTGGGCAAGTTGCCAGAAACGCGTTGATGAAGCTTTGAGCATCGGAGGTGTTTAGGATGGTGCGGATTTTTTAGGTAAAAGAATGAGGCTAGGAGGGTCGTGGAGAAGAAGATTTAGAGGCTCTACGCAGGCTGTTCTATATCTCTTCATATCGTCTTCTTTTGGCAGGCAGTGTTAGGAGTGATTTTAATGATATTTCCCTGGTAATTGGGCTTAGCTAGGTAGCTTGAAAGCTGAATGAGAGACATCAGGAGAATGCTCCTCCGTATGTGACGTGATAGAAGCTTGACTACACTTCCAAAGCCTTTCTGATTCTGACTTCATTGAAGACATGATGCGAAATTATGCATCAAATGCAACGACTTGCAGCGCCCTGTTTGGGAGATGTGTGATGCAGAGTACCCATACTGAGACTCTGGGGGCCTGGAATTAGGTCTCTTAGTTGCTGTGTGTCCCTGACCTGCTGCCCGGACTTAAAAGCTGCGGGAAGCTCGTAGCAGCTTCCCTGACTGAGAAAGCTTGTGTTGATGGAATCGATTTAATTAAGTACTTCAGAGAGGGAGAGAAGCAGAGGACGGTAGCATCCATTGTATAGTTACAACTTACATGTTCTGTTAGTGATGGTCATGTCGATGTTTCGCGCATAAGTAATGGGTCTCTCGGACCGCATATGTGTGCTATGGGTTTAAAATGGGTGCTTCTTCGGTGCCGAAACCAAGTGGGGATTAAATGGTCGGAATGCTCGTCATTGTTAGGCATGGGAGCTTCTTCCATGGGGGAGGGGGAAGTTATTACCGTGAATACATCGACAAGGTTGATCCTAGCGTTCGTTCACTTTGATGCCTGCATTTTCGTTAGTATCCATGGGAATTACGAAAGTTGTTATTCTTGTATTGTAAGTTCGCAAAAGCCAGGATTGTCAGATTAAATGTGATGTAAGTAAATTTTGGTAAGATGTACAAGCTAGATGTTGCACCTCGTTGCGGTGTTGACTTTCTGCCGGCTTTTATTTTCTAAAATGCACCAATGCGTGAAAATTTACGGTCAGAGACGTGAATTTTGGTGCTTCAAACGCAAACATATAGGCATTTAGAATGCTTCATCAATGGTCGCCGAATTATCGAGGCACTTAACGGCATTTCAATTTTCACGTATGACTGTGTCAGCTACACACTGACGTCGTTTGCATTTACTTGAAAGCGTTATGTATGCAATATACATGTAAACAATCATTTCCCTTGTAGTTGTTCAGCTGCATTCTGTCTAATAGTTAATCAATGTTTGCATAAAATCCCGGCCATGCATAAGCCTTAACTGTTTCCGAGCAGAATTGTGTTAGCTTTACTGTCAGAGGTGCTCGCTGTCTAAAAGGTCGTGCTGCCAATACCAGATAACACCGGTTATTTCTTGCTTTCGCTGATTCTTCGAGTCCATATTTTTGCTAGAATGATTGGTTGATGCTCCTCTAAGCTGGGATTTCCAGTAGGTATGTTTCTGGGCATTTCATCGACAATATTGAGACTGTCTGGAAATTGACCGTCAATACCCAAATCCTGTGTGTTTGATCTGCGAATGATACAAATTTTCCAGCAGTGTTTCTTTGGACAAAGACAAAATATCTAGCTACCTGCTCTCTGGGAGATAACACGCAACAGATTTGGAAAGCAGCAAAAACCTTTTACTCCAATGTGCCGCTCTCTACGAAATACGACGAAAGGACTTTTTCAGTCGTGTAAAAACTGTGTGAATGGTGTGAAGCTTTCTATAAATGCTGGGGGCCGACTAGCGAGGGGATTTTCACAAACTTCAAAGATAAATACCGAGATCTCGTGCTCTGGATTAGTTGGGCACCGGCTACTATGTGGCGATAAGTTGGATAGAATCAGTTTTCAAATACCATAATTTGCCGATAGACTGAACGCTCTCTTGTAGGTGTTCTCGAATTGATAGCTCCAAAAAGCGATTAATTGAGCACTTTGATGACTTGTTTTGGCTTCCGACATCGCCTGCTTATCTGTGACGGATGCTCTCTGGCTTACATTTACTTGTGCATTTCAATAGGGTGCCACTATTGTTTCCGTGTATGACGTCACATGCTCTGCCACGTGACGACATTTGACGTCATACTGTAGTATGCTTTCATAACATTTGGTCAGTGCATTGTGTTGTGGGCGACTTGATCTGTTCACTGATATTCATGTTTGGTTCGTGAGTGTATGTTAGCAATACGCGTCCGACCCATGACTGCATTTTCTTTGCTCGACGATGTCAGTTAGCGTAAGGTTTGCGGAAATTTGTATTCTACGCCTCGAAGTACTTTTTCGGCGTGCTTTTTCATCAAAGCTTCTGTCAACCACAAAATGAAGCATGTTTGTCGTATAAGTAGATACGGTCTTTGTGTTCCATGCCTTTTAGTTTTTTCCTTCACGTGATTTCTTAATTTGCGAACTAAAGCTTCATAGACACTAATTGTGCCGTTGCTCTAGAGTAACCCCACACGCGCTAATGAGCACTTAGTCCAACTAACTTGTCCGACTAGCTTTCCAATATGAATGAACTGCCATAATTGTGCGTAATGTGTATGTGTTTGTGTGTGTGTGGGGGGGGGGGGCGCTGATGACTTTCTACCAGTGAAAAGGAGGAGGGGGGTGGCGACTTATGAAGGAACGGCTGTGATGAAAGGTGTGACTGTATCAAATAAATGTGTAATGTACTCGTGATGCCGGCGGCTGCGCTACCGCCGACACCCGTGCAATCCTCCAACAGCCGTCTGCCACCCAGCCGTGGTGGTCCAACTATTATCTTTACTTTACTTTAGCATCCGGTGGTCAGGGAATGCAACACCTTTGCCGCACGGTGGGTCGCGAGCCCTCGTGGGTTGCGGTGTGCAATACACCGTCTTAATTGCAAGGAACGTAATATTACATTTATGTTACGTTAAATGTTTTGACTCCGTGACTCATTCATTATCTCCGTCTTTCGTCTCTCGTCTCGAATGTCTCTCTCTGCCAAACAAGATAAAGATTTCTGCTCCGTTATTATTTACATAAAACAAGTATAACGCCAAAGAATGAAACAAGACTGCTCGGGAATGTACGTCTACGGGAAATTATGTCGCCTCAGAATAAACGCGCAGATTAGCCTAACATACCCTAACACGCGCAATCTACACATTTACTTTACCTTGCTCCTAGCCTAGCTAGGGAGGCGGGGTGAGCACAAAGCCCCATCCTCCGGGTCAGCGGGACACCTACCTCGAGCGAAGCCACCACACGAGAGCCCCGATCGGCCGGCGCTCACGCGTTATAACCCAGCTCGAGGCGGGAGTCGGAACGGTCAGCCCGCCCGAGGTGAAAGCCAGCCTCGCGTTCCGACGCGGCGCCCGTCGACCAGGAAAACCTATTCCTACATGCGCGGGCTTTACATAAATACCCCCTTCTCCGCAAGGTGGGTTAAATCCCCTTACTTCCGGGGAGGGGGTCTTTAGTAAAGCCTTACAATCGACAGACTAAGACGTTCCGAAATGCACAGATCGCGATAACATAGTAGCAGGGATACGGAGCAGCCTTCAAGCGGAGCAACAGCAAGTCATACACACATTAGACATATTTACAGACATCAGACATATACTCAGATCAGACATTCAGATGCATGAGAGTAGCAGCGTTCGGCCACCTCTGGGGGGGGCATTCCCTGGTCTGCGGCAGCGGGCGGCAGCAGACAGCCGGCAGCCGGTGCAGCAGCTTTGGGTCGCAGCAGGCGGGCTGCTGGCAGCGGGCAAGCAGCGTGCAGAGGGCAGGCAGCCGGCAGCGGGCGGCAGCCGGCAGAGGGCTGGCAGCCGGCAGCAGCTTCGGGCCGCAGCGGGCAAGCAGCCGGCAGCGGGCAGCAGCAGACAGCAGGCAGGCAGCCGGCAGCAGCTTCGGGCCGCAGCAGGCAGGCTGCTGGCAGCGGGCAAGCAGCCCGCAGAGGGCAGGCAGCCGGCAGCGGGCGGCAGCAGACAGCAGGCAGCCGGTTCGGGCCGCAGTAGGCGGGCTGCTGGCAGCGGGCAAGCAACCGGCAGCGGACAGGCAGCCGGCAGCGGGCAGCAGCAGACAGCAGGCAGCCGGTGCAGCCGGTTCGGGCCGCAGTAGGCGGGCTGCTGGCAGCGGGCAAGCAGCCTGCAGAGAGAGGGCAGCAGCTGGTAGCGGACGGTACTCGGACCGCAGCAGGCGGCCTCTCTTGTGTCGCAGCAGGCAGCGGGCAGACTGCCGACAGCAGGAAGCAGGCTCGGGCCGCCGCAGTAGGGCGGCAGTGCAGCAGCAGCTGCAGACAGCGGTTCTCGGACCGCGGCAGCCGACAGCGGGCAGGCAGCCGGCAGCGGACGGTGCTCGGACCGCAGCCGGCGGTCTCTCTTGTGCCGCAGCAAGCAGCGGGCAGGCAGCCGGTTCATGCAGACTGCCGGCAGCTGGCGGCAGCAGACAGCAGGCAGCAGCTTCGGGCCGCAGCAGGCAGCCGGCAGCAGGCAGCGGGCCCGGACCGCAGCAGTGGGCGGCGGAGCCCGGGCTGCAGCAGCAGATCGCCGTAGTGGGGCGCAGTGGTGGGTGGCAACGCTTGGCTGCCACCGCAGGGGGCAGCGCCCGGTCGGGCGCAGCAGCTCCTTTCCTTGAGCCGCCTCTGTTGGCGGCTCCCAGGCTGACCAAGCAGCAGGCCGCCCGCAGCGCCACCTGTAGTCGTAGGGTCTTCCACCACCGGCGGCGGCCTCGGCTGGTGACGCCCTCTTGGTCGCGCCGTCTGCTGCCACTTGGTGGCGCTAGCAGCGACGCTCTCTCGGCGAGCGCCCTCTTGGTCGCGCCGTCTGCTGCCACTTGGTGGCGCTAGCAGCGACGCTCTCTCGGCGAGCGCCCTCTTGGTCGCGCCGTCTTCTGCCACTTGGTGGCGCTAGCAGCGACGCTCTCTCTCGCTCGCTTCAGGCGGCGGACGGCAGCGGCGCCCGTGGCGACGACGCTCGGTACTCCGGCGGCGGCGTCCTTGGCTGGTGACTCTCTCATGGTCGCGCCGACTGCTGCCACTAGGAGGCGCTAGCGGCGGCGCTCTCTCGGCGACACCTCCTCTCTCCTTGCGGCGCGCGGCGGACGACGGCGTGATGCCTCCGACATTCCGACCGACGCCTCCACCCTCTCTCGTCCTTCTCTCGCGGCGGCGCGGCGACTCCCTCTCTCTATCGCGGCGGGCGGCGGTGCGGCGCTCCGGCGGCGGCGCCCTCGGATGGCGGCGCCCTCGGACGGCGGCGCCCTTTTGCGTCGCCCTCAGCTGGCGACGCTTTCTTCATCTCTTGCTTTCTTGCGTCGAACGGCGGAGCGAGACGGCGACGCGCGGCCGGACAGCGATGCTCTGCGCTCTGGCAGCGGCGCCCTCTTGCGTCGTCCTCAGCTGGCGACGCTCTCTTTGCGGCACCGCTATTCTCTAGACTCGCGGAGGACGGCGCTGCGACGGATTGCGGTGCCCTCGGATGGCGGCGCCCTCAGCTGGCGATGCCCTCTGTGTCACTTCCTTCCACCGCGACGGCGTCATCTGCTGCTACTTCTGGTCATCTGCTGCTACTTCTGTTCTCTTCCTTTCTATGTCTACCGCGACGGCGTCATCTGCTGCTACTTCTGTTCTCTTCCCTGCTACCGCGACGGCATCATCTGCTGCTACTTCTGTTCACTTCCTTCAACCGCGACGGCGTCATCTGCTGCTACTTCTGTTCACTTCCTTCATCCGCGACGGCGTCATCTGCTGCTACTTCTGTTCACTTCCTTCAACCGCGACGACGTCATCTGCTGCTACTTCTGGTCATCTGCTGCTACTTTCTTCATCTCTACCGCGGCGGACGGCGGGCGTCGCTCGCGGCGGCGACGCGCGGTACTCCGGCGTCGGCGCCCTCATGGTCGCGCCGTCCTCTGCCACTTGGTGGCGCTAGCGGCGACGCTCTCCTGGCGACACCGCTTCTCTCCCCACTCGCGGCGGAAGCGGTCCCCCGCTCCATTTCTCTTCCTCTTTCTTCTCTCGCGGCGGCGCGGCGACTTCCTCTCTCTATCGCGGCGGACGGCGGGGCGGCGCTCCCTCACTCGGCGGTGATGCTGGCGACGCCGCCGTCACTTTGCGGCGCCCTCTGCCGACGGCGCAGCTGATGACGCCTCCTGGCGACGTCCTTTGTTTCTCTCTATGACGCGGCGGACCGACGGCGCAGGTGCGTCTCCTCTCTGCTACCGCGTCGGCGACATCTACTTCTCGTTTCCTCTCTGCTACCCGACGGCGACATCTACCTCCTTCTCTCCTCTGCTACCGCGACGACCTCTACTCTCTTCTCTTCTCAGCTACCCGACGGCGACATCTACTTCCTTCTCTCCTCTGCTACCGCGACGACTTCTACTCTCTCTTATCTGCTTCCCGACGGCGACATTGACGGAGCCGAGGGCGGCGCGGCTCCCTGTCGTGCAGGCGATCTGTCCTCCACATCCGTCGGAGGCTCTCGGAGATCGCCCGCCGCGCACCTGACGATAAAACAAAACAACTCGGCAGGAAAAACGTTCATCACGCAATGCCTAGCTAAGTCAGTCACATCATATTCATCACACTTTCCACATTTAAACGTTTGCGAACAATCAACCATTTACAGAACACTTCATTACACTTCGCACATTCAACGTTTCATACTTTTAATCAACCAGTTACAGAGCACATGCTTAATTTAAATATGCCTGATGACAGGAGAGAGGTTTGGATAGAAGGAAGGATAAACGGTACATACCAGCCGCGGTTATAGGGGCACCTCTGGTTGTTAAAGACGGCTAACATCGGCCGTGGGGCGTGACATCACAACACCGCGGATGATTGTCCGTAATTCTTGGCCCTTTTTCCGATTGATGGTCGGACTTTAAAATCTGCAAGCTTCAATCGTTAATGAAATTTGTATTCCATGAGAAATCGGTTAAGACTGAACTTTTCCGAAATTGTACGTTTAACACGTCACAGTCGACCATCCGACCTGACCACGTGAGCGGCCGTCTCAGTAGTCACAGGTACTGACCGGTATGATCATGCTAAACGGGCCATTTATTTCGCAAAACAAATCATTTAAATTTCCTTCCGCCTAAACTGAGTTTAGAGCGACATTGCCAGTGGTCACAGGTAATGGTCGGTATGATCATGCTGAATGGGCCATGAAATTTTGCACAAACAAGTCATTTAAATTTATTTCCGTCTAAACTGAGTTCAGAGCGGTATCTCTCGTCGCCGGCCCTTTGGTAACGGTACAGCGACAGAGCCGACTGTGGGTCGGGTCACCGTCACTGGCACATGGCGAGCGGGGAAGTGATTAGATGATGCGTGGGATCTGGAGAAAGAGAAAGTGGGACATGGTTCGACTCCCACTGCGCAGAGAAGCGGGTCAAATGTGCGTGCGGCGCAGCGCCGATGGCTGTGAAAGCCAGGAAGAGGAAATGACCGATCGCTGAGAGCGCAGAGATGCGGGTCGAATGTGCGTGCGGCGCAGCGCCGATAACTGGGCGAACCAGGAAGAAGAAATGACTGATCGCTGAGATAAT